AGGAGGAGGAGGAGGAGGTGTGAACTTTTTGGACGTTGTTGGCAACTGGACGCCCCAGGCCGTAGGATCCCATGTGAACAGACGTGGTGTTAGCTCCCAGGCCATGGGATCCAATGCACCTGCCCACTGCTCCATCTCCCTGGCCACCGCGAGAGAGGAGACCCTCGTAGTTGTCGCGTTCTTGACGTCCGGGGGCGAGGGTGGGGCCCGGGGGGAGGCCCGGGTGGTCACAATCGTCCAGTTCCTGCAAAAGAATGCGCAAAGCGAGCGAGGCCTGTATATTCCGTTTCCTGCTTGGGCCCAACGCGCGGGAGGAGGGAGGGAGGATGCCCGGGCCTTTCGGAAGCGCGCAGCCGTCGGCAACTCGAAGTCCCAGGCCACAGGATTCCACGTAAACGCTGCTGTCATGCCCCTGGCCATGGGGTCCTACGGCGAAGCGCACGGCTTCAGCTCCCAGTATATCAGGAAGGCACGTCACAGCCGACGCTTTCAGCTCCCCGGCCACCGCGGGTCGAGGTCCTCGCAATTGTCGCGCTCTGGACCCCCAGGGCTCCGACCTCCCCCAAAACGAGCCAGCATGGCACACTGACGCCACCCCCCTCCCCGGTGCAACATGGAGGGGTGAGGGGGGCTCGTGCACCATTTTCGGTGGTCTTCGGGGTCTCCTGGGCCGCCCGTCCGGCCTGCCTCGGGCGTGGGGCGGGGGGTGCCGCACTCTGGGGCCCTGGGGTTCCTGGAAGCTCTTCCGGCAACATCCATTCGCCCGCGGGGGCGTTCGGGGACGTTCGGTCCCGCGGCTGGACGGGACGAGGGCAGTCCAAGCTGGAAGCCGAGCGTATGCATTCCGAAGACTCGGAGGAGGAACGCCTGGCAAGAACGTCTTGGAGGAGCGCATCCCCAGCCATCGGCACTCTGAGCCGTGGGGAGGGCGCCTGAGTTTTTTTCATGGAGAAGACGTTTCAGTCATCCCAGCAAGAGCAGATGGTATGCTGCCATCATTGACCAGAAGACACGTCTCCCCACGAGGCGTATGTCGTCGAGGGAAGCTGTCGCCAGAAAGGCGAACCATGAGTGTAACGCCCAGCGCCTGCTGCTTGCAGGGATGAGCGTCGACCTTGCAGACTTGCCTATGTGAGTTCTCATTCAAAGCCTAGGATTGGTCGCTCCACACTTCCCTGTTTCGCAATCGATTTCGGGTATTCCAACTAATTCCGATGCATTCCTATGTGTCCCGATGTGTTCCTGCACGTTGCTAGATCTTTTTATTCATGGTAATGTCTTCATGTATTCATATTTGCTTTGTGCTCCTGCATATCGGTGTATTCTTATGCGGTCCTATGTGTAACTTTGTGTTCCTACGTGTTCCTGCGGGTTCCTGCGCGGGGCTATGCATTCCTTTGCTTTCCTGTGTATTCTGATGGGCTCTAGGTACTCATATGAATTATTATGTAAATAGAGTCCAACGAAGTGCAATCAACTCCCACGGATAATTGACATGTTCCTCTCTATGGATCTTTCATTATTATGTATCCTATCGCTTCGTATCCTATGCTATCGTTTTCCATCGCCTCCTGCTGCTTATCACCTCCATTCCAATGTGTATTGTAAATGGTAGTCCTATGGGTAATCCTATGGGTACTTGTATGCCCCTGCCTGTGGGTCCTATCGCTACCTCCCTAGGGTCTAGGACCCGTTTCTTGCAGGCCTCGCCCCCCCCCTCCCCTGCCAAGAACGGAAGACTGGAGAACGTGAGCTGGGCGGGCGGGAGTGGGGGAAGTGCCCGGGAAGGGGGGCGTCGGGGTCGCCTCTTCTCAGCCTTCCGCGGCCCCGCCCGCTCCCCGCGCCAGCGCAGGCTGTCTCACGCGAATCCAGCGGTCGTGCTCGCCGCGATCAAGGCCACCCGGCTTGCCTCCTTGGCCCTCGGGCGTTTGCACTCGCGCTCGATGGCGCTCTCTGCCGCCGAGCCCTTGGCAGCCCACCGCCACCGCCGGCCGCTGGCACGCCCGCCCGTGGGAACGCTGTTTGCTGCCGTGAGGAGGGCTCCGCCGCCGCCGGCGGCCTCTGCTGCAGCCGCTGGGCCGGTGGTGCGGTCAGGGGCGATCTCCCGGCGGCGTCGCCCGGGGCGAAGGCGAGGGAGCGGGCGGCGGAGTGCAGGCGCGCCGTCGGCGCCGCAGTTGGAGGTTTCCTCGTGGGCTGGCGGCGCGCTTGGCTTGGGGCGTGGGGCGACGGCGGCGCCGTTTCGGAGGCCGTCGGGCGTTTCTGGACGTCTTTGTCGCCACGACCGGATGCGCTTCGAAGCGCCGGCCAAGAAGGGCCCGAGCAAGAGTCCAGACATTGGTCTTGGAGCGGACGTTGGTCGGGGGTCCGACGTTCCCCCTCCCCCCCACATCCAAAGTGGGATTCTTGTTTTCTCTGGACACCCGGTGCAGGAACAGGATGGAAGGAACATCCCTTCTCTTCTCACTCACAGACTCACACACTCACTCACACTCACTCGACCACCTCTCATTCACTCGCTCACAATACTACTACTCATCGCTCATCATTATTATTATAACTATTATTATTCGTATGATGATGATGATGATGATGATGATGATGATGATGATGATGATGATGATTTTTATTATTATACCTATTATTTTGATTATCAGTATCGTTAGTAGTATTATCATTATTGTTGTTATTATTATTATTATTATTATGTATGTAATTATTATTATTCTGATGATGATGATTAGTAGTCTGATTATAATGCTTGTTATGATTATTATTTTTATTACTACTAATATTATAATTTTCATTTTCAACTATTATTTTTATTACTATTATTGTTATCATGATCACAACACCACCGTCGCCATCGTCATTGTCGCACACACTCACTCACACACCCACACACTCAGCTTGAGGAGGTCTCAGGCGGGAGCCTCGTCACCATAATCACCTATCACCCGCCACCATCGTCACCATCACCATCGTCACCATCACCCATTACTATCGTCCTCATCATCGGCGAAAGTCTCAGGCGGGAGCCTCGCTTGTGAGTGAATTGCGAGGAAGTCTCAGCCGTGAACCCCCTCCTATGGGGCCCGCAGCTCATGTTTGTAATCCGAGCGGGTCATCGGAAAAACTGTAACTGTCGTCACTTCTGGGCCCCTGAGGACTAAATATGGAGGAAGTATCAGGCGAGAGCCTCGTCTGTGAGTGAATTGCGAGGAAGCCTCAGGCGGGAGCCCCCGCCCTATGGGGCCCGCAGCTCATGTTTGTAATCCGAGCGGGTCATCGGAAAACTTGTAACGGTCGTCGTTTTTTTGGACCCCTGAGGCTTGAATATGGAGGAAGTATCCGGCGGGAACCTCGTCTGTGAGTGCATTGCGAGGAAGTCTCAGGCGGGGGCCCCCTCTCTATGGGGCCCGCAACTCATGTTGGTAATCCGAGCGGGTCATCGGAGAACTTGTAACGGTCGTCACTTTTGGGCCCATGAGGCTTCAACATGGGTGAAGGTTCCGGCGAGAGCCTCGTCAGTGAGTGAATTGCGAGGAAGTCTCAGGCGGGAGCCTCCGCCCTACGGGGCCCGCTGCTCATGTTCGAATCCGAAGCGGGTCATCCTCAAACTTGCAACGGTCCTCACTTTTAGGCTCCTGAAGCTTGAATACGGAGGAAGTATCAGGCGAGAGCCTCGTCTGTGAGTGAATTGCGAGGACGTCTCAGGCGGGTGCCCCCTCCCTATGGGGCCGGCAGCTCATGTTAGCGAGAGCTCGATGGCGGACGATGAAAAAGTAAGCGGTGACAACGAGGACGACGACGACGACGACCAGGTTCCGGAGGAGGAGGACTACGACGACCAAGTGTTTTGAGTTCGACATCAGAGGCGGAGCAGCTCGCGGCAGAGCTGGGCTTCGTGCTGCCCCCCGCCTGAGCGCGGCGGCGCCTCGCTCGAAGCCCACGGGGTTGTCCCAACGGCTCGGTCTCGCGCGCCAGCGGCTCGCGGAGTAGCCCCGAGGGCCTGGCCCGCGGGGTTGTCCCAACGGTTGCGGCGCAATGTGGCAATTAGAGATTGCACCCGTGCTGGCGGAGGCAGCGACGGCGCCGAGAAAAATCGGCATGCGCGCTTATGCAATTGGAAGGGGAGGAGGTGGCGGGGCGTGAAAAAGAATTCACGGCGTGGGCCTCCCCATATGTGCATCTATTCGCATGGACCTGTCCGCCGTGAGTGTCTAGGCGCAAGAGTTTTCGAATATAAGCGGGCTTGAGTTGTGACGGCCTGGTCACGAATCTATTTGCGAATGAATTGGAGTGTGAATGCGTCTCAGTAGTACGAGCGCGTCTCTGCGCGTGAGCCTGGGGCCTCCTGGGGCCTCCTGAAACCTCCTGGGGCTTCCGGGGGCCTCCAGGAGCCTCTTGGGGCCTCCTGGGGCCTCCTGGGGCGTCGAGTGGCCTCCTGAGGCCTCCTGGAGCTTCGCGTGGCCTCCTGGGGCCTCCTGGAGCCTCCTGGGACCTCCGAGGTAGGATTCGTGCCCCGGGAGAGGCCCAGTCTATAAGAACAGACGTGTACATAGAACATTGTGGATTGGAGCCGCAGGAAAAGGGCAATCCGTAGGAATGCGCGTGAAACACCAAGGACTCGTGCCCCAAGGGGGGGCCATTCTAGACGAACGTACGTAAAACATATAGGATTGTATACACAGGAGAAGGACGATCTATATAATCTACATATAGCATCAAGGATTAATGTTCCAGGTGAGGCCCACTTTGTAGGAGCATACGTAACACATGGGATTGGGGCCACTCCTGTTGCCTTCTGAGGCCTCCTGCCCCTGGGGCCTCTCGGGGCCTCCTGATGCCTTCCGGGTCCTCCTGGCGTTTCCTGTGGCCTGGGGCCCCCCTGTGGCTTCCTGAGGCCTCCTGGAGCTTCCTGGGGCCTCCTGGAGCTTCTTGGGACATCCTGTGGCCTCTTGAGTCTTCTGTGGCCTCCGGATGCCTCCTGGGACCTCATGTGGCCTCGTGGGGCCTCGTGGAGCCGCTGGAGCCTCCTGTGGCATCCTGGGGAGAATCTGTGCCCACGAGTCTGGCCACCAAAACAGGCAAACCGATCGAGACATCCTTAAAATCTGACCCCCTGGGGGGCGAAAGTGAACGCTTCGCTCGAGACATCCTCCAAATCTGCTCCGAAAGCGGAGGATGTTGAGCATGCAAACAGGCAAACCGCTCGAGACATCCCCGCCATTTGGGCGCGAACGGAGGCCGTGCAATACCCCTGGCGGCCCCCCATCAGGAGGCGCTTCGCACGAGACATCTTCAAAATCTGCTCTGAAAGCAGAGGATGTTGAGCATGCAAACAGGCAACCCGCTCGAGGCATCCCCGCCATTTTGGCGCGAACGGAGGCCGTGCAATTCCCCTGGCCTCCCTCCCCTTGGGAGTGCAAATTACTCGACGCGGGGCTCCCCATATGTGCATCTCATTCTCTTGGTACGTCTTTCTTCTGATATCTGTCAATGAGCGCCTGTGTGCGAGGGCGAACCGCTCGCTCGAGACATTCCCACAGTCTGCAAGCATGAGTGCGACCAATAGCAAATCTGAGAGCGACTGATTCTGAGTGTGAGTTAATCTGGGTGCGATTGAGCCTGGGTTTGAGTGGGTATGCGTGTGAGTAAATATGAGCGCGAGTGCGTCTGTGTGCGAGTGGGTCTGAGTATGGACGAATCTGAGTGTGAGCCAGTCTGTGATTGAGCGGATCGTAGCATGATGAGTCTGAGCATGAGTGAGTCTGGGCTTGAGTGGGTCTGAGTGTGAGAAAAAGTGTGTGTTAATGAATCTCAGTGCGAGTGAGCCGAGTGTGATTGGGTATGGATGTGAGGCAGTCTGAGTGTGAGTCGGTCTGCGTTTGAGCGGACCGAAGAAAGATGAGTCTGAGCAGGAGCGAGTCTGAGTATGAGTGGTTCTGAGCGTGAGTCTGAGTGTGAGTAAGTTTAAGTATGGATATGAGCGAGTCTAAGTGCGAGTGAGCCTGCGTGTGACTGAGTCTGAGTATGAGTGAGTATGAATGCAGAGAGTGAAGGAGAGCGGAGAGCGAAGGAGAGTGAGGCGGAAGCGTTTGAGTAAAACCTAAAGCCTTGGAACATCGAAACTCGATCGTCTGGCCCTGGCTACTCGAGTTGCCCACGCTCCTCCTCCTCCTCCTCCTCCTCCTCCATCATCATCATCATCCTCCCCTTCCTGCTTCTGCTCCTACCGTGTTCATGCTGTCCTCCTCCTCCTCCTCCTCCTCGTCCTCTTCCTCCTCCTCCTCGCTTCCTCCTTCTCTTCTCTTCTCTTCCTCCTCCTCCTCCTCCTCTTCCTCCTCCTCCTCCTCCTCCTCCTCCTCCTCCTCCTCCTTGGGAGTGCTGAAACCAGCAAATCGCCTGAGACATCCTCCCCAAACTGCTCCGAAAACGACAGATGCCCAGCAGCATAACGGCCAAACCGCCTGAGACATCCCCGCAAACTGGGCGCGAACGTCCTCCAAATCTGCTCCGAAAGCGAAACATGTTGGAAGAGAAAATGGCCAAACCGCCTGAGACATCCCCACAAAATCCCGCGAAAGGGGCCGAGTGCAATACCCCCCCGCCGCTCCCCTTAGAGTGCTGAAACCAGCGAATCGCCTGAGACATCCTCCAAATCTGCTCCGAAAGCGAAACATGTTGGAAGAGAAAATGGCCAAACCGCCTGAGACATCCCCACAAAATCCCGCGAAAGGGGCCGAGTGAAATACCCCCCCGCCGCTCCCCTTAGAGTGCTGAAACCAGCGAATCGCCTGAGACATCCTCCAAATCTGCTCCGAAAGCGAAACATGTTGGAAGAGAAAATGGCCAAACCGCCTGAGACATCCCCACAAAATCCCGCGAAAGGGGC